ATGGTGCCCGGAAGGCTGCCTGTCCTTTTCTTTCTGTGTTCTCCTTGGCTTTCCCTGCTGTGTTCTCTTGCCCTCCTGTTTTGGCGTTCCCTGTGGCATTCTCCTGGCCATTGCCCTTGGCCTTCTTTGATGCATTCTCTTCAGCCTTTTGGCTTTGGCCATCTGTGCCACGTTCTTTTGCCCTTTGTCCTTGGCCTTCTTTGACACGTTCCCTTTGCCTCCCGTTCTGGCATTCCCTATGTTTTCTTTGGCCTTCAGTTCTGGCATTTGTGGTTGCGTTCTCTTTGGCCATTGCCCTTGGCCTTCTTTGCCACACTGTCTTTGGCTTCTTGTTTTTTGCGTTCCCTCAGCATTCTCTTTGGCCCCTTGTTCTGGCGTTCCCTGCAGTGTTCTCTTTGGCTTCGATTTTGGCGTTTCCTTCCATGTTCTCTTTGGCCATTGCTCCCGGCCTTCTTTGCCGCTTTCCCATTGGCCTCTTGTTTTGGCATCCCTTACGGTGTTCTCTTCGGCCTTCGGTTTTGTCTTTCTGTGCCGCATTCTCTTTGGCCATTGCCCTTGGCCTTTTGCATTGGCCTTCCCTGGTTCGTTTTCTTTTGTCTCTGTTTTGGCGTTCTCTGTGGCCTTCTCCTTGGGCCCGGCCTCTGATGAGGTGTTCTCTTCAGTGCTCTCCCTGCCTTTGCCATCCCTTTGCCTTTGACATTGCCTTCCCTTGGGTGTCGTCTATGCCTTTGCCCTCTGTTTCGGCATTCCCTTAGCTGTTCTCCTTGCCTTTTGCTCTTAGCTTTGCCTTGGCCTTCCCTAACGATCACTCTGAGCCTAATCCTAATAAACCCAACCTTAATATCTTCTCCCCAACCCTACGCTCTGAACTGAACCCTGAACCCCAAATGTAGTGTTAATTGCAGCCATGACTGTATAGATAACTGTGCAAATTAACCCTGAACCTTCAGTAGTGCTTTCAACTGGTCACTAAACCCATCTGTAACCTTCTGTGTAATACTAACAAAAACCCCACAGCTTCCCTGTTAAATACTCCTAACCTGACTCTCATGCCACTTCTTGGAGCAGTGTTTGGATTCCATGTTTTGTGGGGGTGGGCTTACAGTGAGCATCATTTGTGTCTTGGCATTCCTCCTTCTAAAATGTGTCTCTCTGTGCTACAGGTGAAGATGCCTTCGACGCTTCCAGTTGGTGACTTCCTCCCTGCAATGCCATTGTCTTTCTAGGCCTCCCACACTCACCGCCAGCTCGGTTCAGTCGAGCCGTTACCCGAATCCCCGCTCATTCCCTTTCCATGATCTTCCTGTCACTCTGCTGCAAGCCCCTACAGCCGCTCAGGTCATCACAGGCAACGTGTGGGATGCGGCACTCTGTCTCATTACAGTTCATCCCATTGGCCTCAGCCCAGCGATCCAACCCACCTGCACCCTTCCTTGGGGCCCTTCCACTCCTAGGCCAATCAACGATTTTTTCTGATGCCAGCTGTGTTCCTTCCTGCCCACTTTAAGACTTGTGCCCCTTTGTGGCCATTTTGAAAGTTGCGCTGATTTCAGCGTGCGCATTCAATTTATTTCAATCAAATTGGCTTTAGTTTTACATTCAATTAATGTAAACCAAATTGGCTTTAAGTTTGCCTTGCTTACAGGGTTGGGTTAGCTTTGCTTTGTTTGTTTCTAGCGCAGGGCTAACCCAACCCTGTAACCAACACCTGAGGGCTGTTGGAGGTGATTTCTTTTCCTGCCCGGCCAGTCTGAAACTTGTGCCCTGTTGTGGCCATTTGGAGAGTTGCGCTGATTTCAGCGTCTGCATTCAATTAAGCTCAACCAAATTGGCTTTGGCTTTGCATTCAACTTATTTCAACCAAATTGGCTTCAATCTTACATTCAATTAATGTAAACCAAATTGGCTTTAAGTTTGCATTGCTTACGGGGTTGGGTTAGCTTTGCTTTGTTTGCTCCTAGGCAGGGCTAACCCAACCCCGTAACCAAGGGCCGTTGGAGGCGGTTTGTGTTCTTTCCCGGCCAGTCTGAGACTCATGCCCCGTTGCGGCCATTTGACGAGTTGCGCTGATTTCAGCGTCTGCATTCAATTTATCTTAACCAAATTGGCTTTAGCCTTGCAGTCATTTCGCATCAACCAAATTGGCTGTGGTTTTGCATTCAATTGATTTCAAGCAAATTGGCATTAGCTTTGTGTTGGTTGCGGGGTTGGGTTAGCTTTGCTTTGTTGGTTCCTAGGCAGGGCTAACCCAACCCTTTAACCAACACCCAAGGGCCAGTGGAGGCCGTTTGTGTTCCTTCCCAGCCAGTCTGAGACTCATGCCCCATTGTGCGCATTTTGTGAGTTGTGCTGATTTCAGCACCTGCATTCAATTGATTTCTACCAAATTGGCTTTAGCCTTGCAGTCATTTTGCATCAGCCTAATTGGCTTTGCATTCAATTTATTTCAATCAAATTGGCTTCAATTTTACATTCAATTAATGTAAACCAAATTGGCTTTAAGTTTGCATTGGTTGCGGGGTTGGGTTAGCTTTGCTTTGTTTGTTCCTAGGCAGGGCTAACCCAACCCCGTAACCAAGGGCCGTTGGAGGCGGTTTGTGTTCCTTCCCGGCCAGTCTGAGACTCATGCCCCTTTGTGGCCATTCTGAGAATTGCTGTTTCTTTGGATGGGCTGAGATCTGCACTGCTTTTGAGATGGGTTACAGTATACAACATTTTCACAAATGAGATGTCACTAATGGGGTATGGAGGCTTTGTACCCTTTCTCTGGTTGGTCTGACATCTATGTGAACTATGTGTTACAACTGTGCTGAATATGTGTGTGCTGCACCTGTAAATTGCGTCATGCCATATATGCAATGTGTGTTGTGTTGTGTTGCACCTGTAAACTGTGTTGCACCATGTACAGAATGTATGGATGCTGTGCATATAAACTAAGTATTGGAATCAGAGACCCATAATCATTACATGTTCTGCTTCTGCACATGTAGTTGCTGGAATAGTATATATGTATATGAGCCATGTCTTGTGGAAACAGTGCTGTAATAAACAAATAGTTAAACAATGCAAGTATGTTGTGTGTCTTCCTTTGTCACGGAAAGGACTTGAAGGTAGGTGAGAAAGGTAGGTGCGGAGGATGGGAGAGTTGGGGTTAAACTTACGGACTTAGACGGATGGACAGTTGGACGGTTGGATGGCTAGGGTTGGACGATTAAGGTTAGACAATTAGGGTTAGACACTTGGACGGTTAGACAATTAGACAAT